GGGGGGGGGGTTAGAGCCCTCCTAGAATCTCTCTAACCCCTCTTATAAAGTGTTCAACCCCACCAATATTTTGCTTTGTGTGAAAGTCTTTAACCCTAATGCCTAACCCCTGCTGAAGCTCGCTCAGTAGTGCTGCTTGCACCCCACTAGAAATTTTCCCATCCCTCTTTTCAAAAATATGAAAATCTGCCCTTGGTGTACTAGCTTGTCTGTCTGCATGACAACATAAACAATATAAAATGTATTGCAATGAAAATAATTTTTCTAGCTAAGTACTTCGTCAGGAGGAGGATGTTGTGATTGTGGTGACGAGGAGGCGTGGAGACAAGGAGCGTCATGTGAACTCCACAGTGCAAAGTCAGAGGACTCTGCTGGCGAGGTAGTTATTGGTGAAATAAGATCAGAGGGTAATTCCATGGTGGTGATGACATTTTTTGAAAAACAAAATTGTCAGAAGCTATTGGAAGCAATTCTGAACTGAAATGTTAGGATGTACTTTATATGTAACGTGAGCAAGGGTGGGTTGACTACAAATATTTTGTAGTTCGCTATAACTACAGCTGCTTCAAAAATATGTAGTCAGCTACAACTACTGCTACTTTTAAAGAAAGGTAGTTCGCTACTGACTACAGCTACTGCTTAAAAAATATAGCAAACTATTTCGCTACTCTATATTTTTACTTTTACTGTATTTGGAGCATCTATTAACTCAGGCTGGAATGTAACCTATAACAAATCGATTTACGAGTAACAGCAGTAAAAACAAAGCAACATTTTTGTAAGCACTACAGTGTTCAGGCGTGCAAATTGACTATTGAGTATTGATTTTAAGCAGACCGTGTCTCAATATCATGCTATTCTATCAAGTTACTAACAATTTTAAAAAAGTAGCGAATATCGATTCGCTGTTTGAAAAGTAGCCAACTTCTTGGCTACTTTTAGGCAAAATGTAGTTCGCTATAACTACGGCTACTGTTTTAAAAAAGTACTAGTTAAAAACTACTGGTAGTTCGCTACAGTAGCGAACTACAACTACTTCGCTACTACCCACCCTTGAACGTGAGTTATGTAACGTGAGTCGCATGTATTTGTAGCATTAATCCTTACTATTGTAATCCAAAATATGAAATTTCTTTGTGTTGGTAGTTTGCCTAACATATAGTCTGTAACTTGATAGACATTGTATGTTTCTCTTTCCTATGGTTCCCAAAGAAATTCAAAAGTAGTTAGGTTGATGTTACCTAGCTGACATGTCACTTTGTCGTAACACACACCAATCTTATCATGTTATAATAATCAACTGTTTAATTTGTACTGTGAATCAGTAGCTTACCATTATTTGTACCTGCATGCAAAAATGTGACAGAACAAATATATTTAGTTATTACACCAGATCAGAATTACTCTGATAGTTTGGTTCAGAATTTAACATGAGTCACCATAGAATTACCCCAGGTGGATTTAAAAATGAGGTGCATAGGGTTAACATGGCATTTCCTATTTAGGATCTGTTACAGAAACTCCCAGAAGATCTATCCAAGCGAG